TATATAAGTTCCACCAGCTGGCACATATGTTCCATCTGCAGCATAATGTCCTACCTGACTTTTCGTTTTTAAGAAAGCATTTACTAGGTCTGTTTTGGTCTGTTGTAACTTTTTCTTGACTTTCCACAACAGTTGCTCTAACGGAGTCATAGGCACTTTGAACTGCCTGTCTAGTTGCTGCATCTGTTATTTTCGTCATATTTTGTGCTACTTCTTTTAACTCTTTGTCGAAACCTTCAGACTTCAGTTTCTTTCCAGATGAGAAGTCGTTCACTAGTTTCACCTTACTATGAAGAGCTTCGAAGCATTCTTAAGTCAGCATTCATTAAAGCTTCATTTGAACTGTCTTCATCCGCTTGTATTTTTGTCCTTATTGACCCTATAAGTTGGGCTGCTTTGGCGTTGGCTTGGGCATCTAACCAGTCATTATTAGCTTTTTATATATTCTGCGCTTTTCATTGCCTTTTGCATGGCTGCGTCGTTATTTTTACTTTCTTGTGCTAAGTTTTCATACTGTTACCGGTTTGTTTGCAACTGTAAAAGTTTTTCTGCCTTTACATTTGCTTCAACTTCTTTTTTATACTCATCGCTATCCATATATGTCTTCAGGGTTTTTGTTTTATTTCTTCATCTTTCAGTACTTTATATTGAGTAGTATGGTTTTTCAAATTTATAACATCTTGTTCCATTTTTGCTACTCTCTGCTGCTTTTTCTGACACTTTTTTCGCATATTCCTCTGTACTTAGTTCTTCAGTTGTTCTTCTTTCTTCTTTTTCTCTACGTTTAACTCATTGAGTTCTTTGTGTGTCTGTCATATTCTAGTTTCTTTTCGTTTCACTTATTTGTTTCTGTATGTCTATGTTTGACTTTTTGGACATCTGTTATTTGATTTTGAGTGAACTCAAATTCATTTGACTTTGAGGGTTATTAAGCTGTTCCGTCTGCAGCTCCACCATAGCCTGCCATTTTCGCTAAAAGTGCCGCTCTTAAACCTCCACTCTGTGCACCAATAACTCGGTTTAAAAGCATAGGGTTGCTTGACATTTGTTGCAACATAGTGGGGTCATTCATCATTTGTTGTTGCAACTGTTGTTGTGGTGTCAGTTTTACTATTGGATGTTTTCAATGCTCCTTCCTCTTACGTATATTCTTACGTAGCTTACGTGGCATTTTAAGTGAAGTTAAAAAGCGTTTTTGACAGATGTTTATATGACATCATTAATATGATGTAAATAACAACGGTTTTGGTTTTGTCACCGGCTGGTCGGCTGGGGTTCGGTCCTCCTCTTGGGTCTTGGGCAAAATTCTTAGGGCTAGAGGGCACGAAGTGCCTGGAAGCCCCACTACCTTTTTTTTTTTTTTTTTTCTTTTTCTTTTTTTTTTACCCAACATTAATTTTGTATTTTAGTTTTTAAGATATTCATTTTATTATACGTCTTATTCAGAAAATTAAATATATTTGTGAGGGAAAACGGAGGAAATAATAAATATGTCAAGATCGAGGAATTGACAATTTTAAGGAAAATATTAAGTTGTGTATTTTGTGTTTATCTCATTGTGTGATGCATATTTTCACGATCTGACAGCAGAAATCGAATCAGCAGAGCCAGAAGAATCAGATTACGCGGGGAAAATAGGTTTTGAACGCTTAGATAGGGGTAAAATCAGACTTTATGAGGTATGTTGTATAATTATAGTTTGTGCTGTAATATGTCATGAGATCAGAATATGAAGGGAGTATATATGTGTTATTGTCACAGGTATATATGTGAGGATAGCTCAGTAGAGTCTGTAAAATAGTTTAGTAGAAGAAAAAGTTATATAAAGAACAAAAAATTAAAAAAACATTATTAAGTGAAAACCAAAGTTTACATATTTTTTTGTAAGGTTTTGTCTTTGTGGGTTGGGGTATATGACAAAAAAGATTGGATAATGCACTCTTGTCGGTCAAACTTCCGCGTTCAAGTTATCAATGCGGAACATTGTTCCATTCTGGGAGACATGCAGAGGCAATGTCTCCCAGAATGAGACACTGCGACCGACAGGAGTGCACAATACACTCTTGTCGGTCAAACTTCCACGTTCAAGTTATCAATGCGGAACAGTGTCTCATTCAAGGAGCCATTGAAAAGAACCTCACATCGACTCTCTCTTTCCGGCATCTTTACCGCATAGAAAACTGCTCGTTCGCAACTTTGTGGGCAATCTAAGAGATGATTGCGGTAAAGATGCCGGGAAGATTGACGCTGCAGCAGAGAATCACTACGGCTCTCTTTTACCGGCATCTTTACCGCATAGAAAGCTGCTCGTTCGCAACTTGTGTCAATCTAAAGAGATGATTGCGGTAAAGATGCCGGAAGATTGATGCTGCAGCCCCAGGCCGCACTCAGATTTCATCCCGCTACACAATTGTTCACCAACAACTGTCATAGAGGTTGAAATTTTCGACCAGAAGTGAAACATATCATTTTTAAGACTGCGGCGCGCAAGCAAGTTTGAACCTTTCAAGGGTGATCAGTCCTTTACTCATTTCAAGACCTCTTTTCCTGATAAAACGATACTTCCTTCCTTGTGGCCATTAAAAACCGCTCAAAACCGTCAACAACTTGCTTCTAAATTTTATTTGCGGAGTAATTATCATGCATATTTTATCGGATAATAATATCAAAGCTAAATTTCATATTATTTTTTAAAGATATGCATTTTCTGTCTAAATTTATTTTTTCTGTTCCCGAATTGGAGGGAACAGGACAAATTTGCCACACGGCACTTTTTTTAAAAAAAATTAATGGAGCGGAGCGATACTCTGCTGCAGGAGCCCCAAGGCTCCCAATCATTACGAAAGGGAGCCTCAGGGCTCCTGAGAATCCATCAGCAGAGGCCTTTTCATTTGGCCTCTGCTGATCAAAGATTCGGCGAAGCCATTCTTCGTCTCAGGATCCCCAAGGCTCCCAATCATTACGAAAGGGAGCCTCAGGGCTCCTGAGAAACCTCTTTGAGAAGGTTTTCTTTAAGAAAACCTTCTCAAAGATGATTGTCAGCATTCACTCAAAATCTACCAAGAGTTTCAAAGTTTCAAATCTATCTGAAATGAAGCTTTGAATCTCTTGTATATCTAATTGTAGAGGTACCTTTTCAAAATGTCTTCTATTGATTAAATTTAATCAGTAAAAGTCATTTTGAAAAGGTACATCTCTATAATTGCTATTGAGCATTCACTCTTGGAACCTTGGAGCTCTTGTGTAGTGCATGAAAACTCCAAGATTCTAGCATAAAACATATATCATAGACATAATTTCTTCAAATATAATTTAAGGTTATTTTTTAAAAAATAGAAAGGGATAATTTAAGGTTATTGAAAAGTGACACTTGGCAAATTTGTCCCGCACTCTTCCAATTCACGGAATAATATTCTTACAAGCATATACATAGCTAATATATATCATTTTAATAATAATAAAACCAAAATGATGTATTCTTCATATAGTTATTTAAAATTCGTTAACTAGAATTGTATTCAGAACGAGGCAAAGTTAGGAGATACATACAAACCAATAACTTGATAAGTGATACCTTTTTTCCTAATATATCTATATGTGTTAATGTCAAACACGATTTGGAAAAATTAATTCTTTAAATCGGCTTAAAATAAGACCAAATCAAAAAGCATGGCTAATAAATTAATAAATCAATGTTTAATTACCGATTCATGCATTTTTTTCAAAATTTCAAATTTCAAATTTTTTGTTTCTCCAAAATATTAATTGTTTCCACTAGATTAACAAATAAACAATAAATTGGATTAATGTAATGCCCAATCATTCATTTTAAATTTTAGATTTAAAACAATATTTTTCTCCATATTATTATAACATGAATCGCTATGATATAAGAAATATATTTTCAATATTGAAATTGAAAAAATTCTAAAATTTTTGAAATTCAATTTGAGTGATGTCGATAACATATATTTTTTAATTAAAATCTTGTGTCGCTATCATATAAATATACTATTTCTAAATTAAAAATAGAAAAAAAAGTACTATTTAATGATGAAATTGCAAATAATATCAATATATATATATATTCATGCTGATATATTTTAGGAACAGATTGGCAATCACATAAATAGGATTGTGTTAGTTTGTCATGGATATAAAACAAATTTTCGAGCTAATTGAGCGAATTTAAATCACAAACACTTATATTTTCTATTACAAGGTATATTTGTAATATACAACCAGTAAATAGCTTTCTCTAACTTTTACCAGCTTAGATGATAGCAAATTAGATACGAATTTCATGACCCCTCACCAAATTCCACTAAAACATATACAAATAAAAGTACTAAGTGGGTATCATCTAACCCTAGAATTATAGCTCCTAGGACTCATCCTAGATGGTAGTTCTGGAAAAACACCTGGTTTTTGGAGTTGCAAAAGTTAAAAATTGAGGGTATTCAAGATTAATGGAAAAATTAAAATGAGAATGTATGGACTAATAGATAGACGTGATAGTTAGTATTTAAATAATGAAAGATAGAAAAAATATTGATTATAAAAAAAAAGCATAAGTTAACTTCATAAGTTATATACCAAAAATAATGCATGCCAAAAGACTTTTTGAGAGAAATTTTATATTATTGAATTTCCATCTCTGTTGTATTTGAAAATTTTTCTCATAATGCAAAATGTATTGTAATGGAATAATTTTTGCAATTTGAATCGCTTTCAATTCTAAAAATTGATAACAGATTTTTTAGATATTTCATTGTAAAATATCGGTTCACGATTAAAATAATTAAATGTATATAATTAGTAAACACTAAATTAGTTCTAATAATAGATTTATGAAATCTGATCGAAAATTTTAAAAAAGTCAATATTGTTACTAAGTACTAATATTTAAACACTATTTCTCATATTTGAAATATAAAATTTATTTCCTCAAAAATTGAGATAAAAAGTTTTTCCTTCAAAAATTTGTTTATTAGAATTTAATGCAGAGTTCGAGACTTACTGAGCTATTTAAATGCTCACTGAAAAAGAACAAGAGCAAAGATGCTGAAATTATAAGAATGAAGGAACAAACACAGTGGGAACTCTCTTTAAGTGCAACGAATAAATTATCATATTGCTCCCAAAGTTCAAGAAACAGATCATACTCATACGATGATTCTAGCACAAGACAACAGCCACAAAGAAAAATCTCTGCCGCAAAATCCGGAAATTTAACTAAAATCAAAACCCCAAGGAAGGGCTCAAACACAGTTCCAACAGCAGCACTTACAAAATTAGTTAATGAACTAAGAATAAATAGAAAAAATGATCCGGCATTTAATTCAATGCGTCAGCTTCCTGTTCCAACAATTGAAGATGATCATGATAGTCACTTAGTTACACCGGTTTCATCTACTCTTGCTGCAATTGACTTATATTTAATGTGAAATCAACAACTTTTTTAGCACTATTTTTGTTTTTGTTTGTATTTTTAAAGATTAATATGTATTAATTCACGAATGTATTTGAATCAGAAATGAATTTCATCCGCGTTTATTCTGCTTTAAATTTGAAAAAATATTTTTTACCCACTACTTAACGGTTTCTATTATAGTGAATCATTAATCATGTATCTTTGATATCTTATATTGTTATTGCTTGAAATCATGAAATAAAAATATTCGAAATAGGCATGAAGGAAATTGATTTAGAATCTTAATTACATTGAACACTTGAAATTAAATCTCAAATAAAAAGTAGTGGCAAGCGATTTCAATATGGAAATATTATAAGAATTAAATTTTTGTTTAGGTGTAATGAATCTTAGACTAATAATTAATCAATGCGAATAATTGTTTTTGTTTTTCAAGTGAGAATCATAAAAATATTTTGATAATGTGAGAAAAAAATAGCTATAAATGCAATATAACTATTCTATTCCGCATATGTAATGGTTGACGCATCATCAACATGCGTAATGTTCTTCATAGGATTATATCAATTTGATAAAAAGGCTTAATGGACCATCGGATGGAGAAACACAATTGACACGATCTCTTTGTGAGAAAAAAAGATACAAAAATTGCATACACTATGTTTACATATGATGATGAATCTGAATAAGATTAAATGATAGTGTATAGTTGGGAGTTGAAACAATAATGGATATTTCAGATATTCATGATGCTCTTGATCCATTTAAATATGATTTTATCATATCATTCACTATTCGTTTACATAGATATAAGGTGTTGGAGAATTTAATTATGTTTTAATAATACTCCGCGTTATTGCAGCTTGTATAGAGGTGAAATATATCAAATTAAACTTTGTTTCTAAATTCTGAATTCAACCATGAGTAGGGGTAATTTTAGCTAAAAGTGACACATCTGTAAAAAGTGACACACCCGTGAAGGGTGTGATTACCGATCGGTAATTTCGACAGTTTAGAATTTGAAATTTTTTATGGAACTGTTGCGAGTTTCATAAAGAATTTAAGGAATATAAGCAAAGATTTGAATCAAAATCTTAGACCTAAGCCGCTCGATTCGCTCGCGGCTTCCGCGAATTACAGATCAGCAAAGATTTGAATCAAAATCTTCGAACTAAGCCGATCGCTTCGCTCGCGGCTTTCTTTATTATTTTAAATTTGCATATTTCCATCAAAAGTTCATAAGGTAAAAAATTTCGTTTATTTTTACTAAGAAAAAAAAGGTTTTTGATAATAAATTTATTTTATTTCGAAAAAGTAGCAATAATCGTAAAAGGGTATTGATAGGCTTGCTAAAGTAACTAATTTTAGCTGTCAAATACTTTTGTATTTTGAAGTAAATTAGTATAAATTTGTTTTTACTTTTATTTCGAAAAAGTAGCAATAATCGTAAAAGGGTATTGATAGGCTTGCTAAAGTAACTAATTTTAGCTGTCAAATACTTTTGTATTTTGAAGTAAATTAGTATAAATTTGTTTTTACTTTTATTTCGAAAAAGTAGCAATAATCGTAAAAGGGTATTGATAGGCTTGCTAAAGTAACTAATTTTAGCTGTCAAATACTTTTGTATTTTGAAGTAAATTAGTATAAATTTGATATTATTTTAACTTCCTTTGAAAACCTCAATTTTCCATACAGAGGGAACGGGAATAGCATCCAATATTCCCTGAGAATGGTTGCGCATTCTCAGTTCCCTCTATATTTCGAACGAAGCTCTCATCGGTCTTTTTTTTAATACTAAACGTTTTTTCCCTGTCACTTTTAGCTAAAATTTGGGTTTGCCTTAAGATAGATGCTGAGTGTTCATCTGGCCAATATATTTTTAAAATTCATTGATAATTAAAATATTAGAGCTGTTGTATGTGGCGTACCTAAATCACGTATTAACTCGAAAAATTCCCAAAATTAAAAATATTCAATGAAGTAAAGAATTTTGAATCGAAATCTGGTGATTTTTTCTTAGGGATTAGCTTCATAACTTGGTTTCTCCATATGAAAAATGAGTATTTATGCAATGGTTTTAAATATCATTCCGAAAAAAAATTGTTTGTTGATAAAAATCTGGACGGTCATCTGACCAAAATTGCTATTAATTTTTTTCAATTTGAAACATTGATACCTATCGATAGTTGATTAGATTTCATGATTGGCTTCAAAGTGCGGGTTCTCAATTTTGTGAAGAATATAATTTGAAGGAAATAGCTCTTCATTTTTATTAAAGAGATGTCACAGAAGTTCCTCTTCACCAGTGAATCCGTCACAGAAGGTCATCCAGATAAGATGTGCGACATTATTTCCGATACAATTCTTGATGCTTGCCTCGCTCAAGATCCAAATTCAAAGGTTGCTTGCGAAACATGCACAAAGACAGGTATTGTCTGCCTTCTTGGTGAATTGACATCCAATGCTCACCTCGATTATCAGAAACTCGTTCGTGATGCCGTTCGTAAGATTGGCTACACATCATCCAAGCTTTGCTTCGATGCTGACACATGCGCTGTCATGGTTTCCATGTGCCAGCAGTCTGCTGATATCGCTCAGGCCGTCCATCTTAACAAGAAGGCTGAGGAATTAGGTGCTGGTGATCAGGGCATCATGTTCGGCTACGCTACAGACGAAACAGAAGAGCTCTTCCCACTTACACACGTTCTTGCTCACAAGCTTGCTCGCCGCCTCACAGAAGTCCGTAAGAATGGAACACTTCCATTCCTCGGCCCAGATGGCAAGACACAGGTTACAGTTGAATACGAGCGCACAAATGGCCACCTCAAGCCACTCCGTATCCACACAATTCTCATCTCTACAATGCACACAGATGATGTTACATTAGACAAGCTTCGTGTTGAAGTCAAGAAGCACGTCGTTGATCCAGTTCTTCCAAAGGAACTCGTTGACCACACAATCCTCCACATCAACCCAGGTGGCAGATTCGTCATCGGTGGCCCACTCGGCGACTCTGGTTTGACCGGCCGTAAGATCATTGTCGACTCTTATGGAAGCTGGGGTGCTCACGGTGGTGGTGCTTTCTCTGGCAAGGACCCATCAAAAGTCGATAGATCTGCTTGCTACGCTGCTCGTTGGGTTGCTAAGTCCCTCGTTGCTGCTGGCCTCTGCTCAAGATGCTTAGTTCAACTTTCATACGCTATCGGTGTTGCCCACCCACTTTCTATCTTTGTCGATACATACGGCACAGGAAAGGGCAAGACAGACGAAGAAATTGTCGAAATTGTTAACAAGAACTTCGATCTTAGACCATACGCTATCATCCGTGATTTGGACCTTCTTCGCCCAATCTATGCTCAGACAGCTGCTTATGGCCACTTCGGTCGTACAGATATCGACCTCCCATGGGAAAAGGTTAAGGAGATCAAGTATTAAATTGATCTATAGAGTTCAATAAAGGATATATCTATTGTAATTTCATTTTCTTTTTGGTAATTTTTCAATATTACTAATGAGATTCGCTTTTGTTTTGATCATAAACATTATGTATTGAAAGAAGTTTATAAATTAAAACTCATTGAAGTATTTGGATATTCAATTTTCAAAAGTTGATTGATTTTTACGAATTTTTTGATTGTTTAGCTAAAATATAGACGTGTGGAACTTTTTTAATTTATAAAAAAAACTCAAAGAAAATTGTATTTATAAAAATATTATTCAAAATCTACATAAATAGTAGTGGTTTTTTGCGAAAACACCTTTTAACTAGGAAAAACTAAGCTAAAAAGCGTGTTTATTTTATTCAAAATTTAATATACTTTAATATAAATCAGAATCAACGTTTTTTCAATGAAATTATTATTAATTTTTAATTCATTTCAAGAAATCTCTTTATTATCATTCATATTCCATGATTAACATATAAAATTAGAATAATTGCAACTATATTTTGTGGTCTAGGTTAAAAAAAATATGAGATATAACATATATAACTATTTTATATTAAATATATGACAAGATCTCCTACAATATCATAGGAGATGAAAATGTTTCTCTGCAAAGCATGGTAAAATATTTTTGTTTTTCGCTCATCGTTTCATAACTGAAATATTTCCTTCTCTTCTCGTAAAAATCAATTTCATTCTCTGAATTGTTTAGGAGTGCATCAATTGACAATAATGGGTGAATATAAATCTTTTGATTTTCGATGAAATATTCTTTATTAAGGATGACTTCTCCAGGTTTTTGGGACTTGACTATGATATTAGATGATTCTAGGATATATGTTATCTGGTATAACTTGCAGAGAATTGTTTTGAATTTATCATTCTTTTTTGATAAAAATTTACTGCACTGTTTAATATCAATGCTAGTTTGGTGCAAAGCACTAAATAGCAATAAAAATTTGTGTGTCAGATTCGAGATCGTGATAGATGTTTCTTCTATAGATAAATTATCAATATTATAATCTTTTTCAAAAATACGTTCTTTGCGGACTAATCTCTCTAATGTTGGAAGGACATTAGAAAAGCCAATCCATAATAATGAATCAACGCTCAATTTTTTGCAAATTCCGATTGACTCGTAAACATTGATAACATCATATAGCCTACGTTTGTAAAAATTAAATTGCGAAGCAATTCTTTGAAGGGAAAGAACATTTTCGCATTGACAATCCAAACATTGAATTAAGGACTGGATTGAAGTTTTGAAATTATCACTGGGCTGAACAATGCTCTCAGATATATCAGGAGAATTAGCTGATTTTGGCTCAGCTAACATCAATTAATTAGAAAAGACAAAACTATTCTGAGCGCTCAAATTTTTCTCACAAAATGTAACGAATATTATATCTATTATGTATCAGTTATTTGGGTAAAATTTTTCCAAAATTGAATTCTTCTGAATTAATTTGATTGGTTCAAGAAATTTTTTATATCGAAACATTCGGAAAGTAATAGTATGAAATTATACATTTGTCATCTTTTTATTTTCTGATGAAATTTTGATATAAAAACAATTATATTATTTCATCATAATTTTTCATACCATTCATAATTTCATTAATGTGGCTAATTAATTCAATATTTTCTGACAATGAACTATCAAAAATTCAAAGCCTTCAAAAGCTAATATCCTTAAAATCTGAATTAATAAATACTAATTACAGAATACTCTTCATAAATAGTAATCAAAGATTTTTTGACAGTATCGAAATTGAAATCTTTGATCGGCTCATTATTTCACGGGTTTTCCCTACTTATCAATCAATCTAGACCTTCTCAATTAATCTATAATTGAATTTATTTATCCAAATTTATTCGTCGTCTTGAAAACAAATAGAATTTGTCTAATTTTCATTATTCTATTATTTATCCAATGATTAAAATATATCCATCTTCTTTTAATTGTGTTCTATTTTAACCTAATTCTTGAAACAATAACGTAATTTTGTTAAAATCTCAATAATATAGAATCAGCACTGATCAGACAATTTAAGGTCAACTTCAGGGTAAAGTTTAACGTACATATTTAAATCAAATTTTGGGTATTCGTAATTTTTGAATCAGATTGAACAGAATTATCAGGTTGTAAATGAGAATAATAAAACATGCAGCCTTTTTATATCTTTTGATAGTTGATAAAATTCAGTAGTATATATGACGGGTTGTGTGACTTTTTTTGTAAACGTAAGAATTCATACAATATCGAGCGATTTTGTATCATTTTTTTTAACATATGAAGTAAAAAATGTATGATTCTTACGGTTTTTATTCTTACGTTTTGAATAAATCAAGATTTAAAAATTTCAAAATTGTAAGACATTTACACTCAAGCCCATACATAATGAAATAAACACATTAAAAAAAATATTTTATCTTTTATAAAAGAAGCTATATATATATAGATGATGTCAGATATTCCGTGATTAATTAAACATTGTTTAAATCATGAATGGAATCAATGGAGTCATAATCAAAGACCTCATAAACGAGAAAAATAAATTCAAAACTAATGATTATTTGAATTTATGAAATCAATTATTTGATTCATTCTTTCTTCAATCTCTTCTATTCTTTTTGTTAAATCATCAATTTTCATTAATGAGGTGATTCTTGATTGGGGAATAGATTTCAAACTAACCAACCCTTTTATTTTTGAAATTTTGAATCCATCAACTTTAAACATTTTATTCAATTTACATGTTGTCAATTCTTCAAATAATTTTTTATTATTAGCATAATAGTCATTAAATTCTTCAACAGATGAAAAAATTTTTATTTCAGTAATTGGTTTAACAACGTTTATTTTTTGTTGAACATTTTCACTTATTTCTTCCTCCTCTGTTTCATTTATTTTTAAAATCGGTTTCATTTATCATTAAATAAAAAATTAGAATATAAGTGATAAAATATATTTTTTAATTAATATTAAATCAGAAATGGCGGCAGGATTCTTTAAAAAATTATGGGATGGAATTAAGAAAGCTGCAGGTTGGGTTTATAAAAAGGTTATTAAACCTGTTGCAAACTTTTTGGCACCAGTAGCGAAAACGGCAGGAACTATCATAGGTGGGGTATTAGGTACAAAAGCAGGTAATCCGGCAATGGGAGCACAAGCAGGTAACGCAATTGGTGGAATTGCTGAAGGAATACTTAATAAAATAGGTGGTAAATAGTGGAAAAATAAATATTATTTTTATCTTAGTATCGGTTGTAGTCTTTGATAAACTTTTTCTCCTTTATTTAAAATTTCTCTTATTGGGGCAGCTTTTGGTGTTATTGATTCAGCAACGTCACTAATTGCTTCTTTATTCTTAAATATCCAATTTGCTCCCTTCTTCAATGTTTCCCAAACTTTACTCGCCCCTCTTTTTACTCTATCCCACAGTTTCTTAAATATACCCGCAGCCATAGTTAATTATTTCATTAAAATTAAAAATTCATTTTCATCTTTTAATTTTGATTTTTTATTTATTAATAAATGACGACTAACTATTTAGTGCCAAACACTAAACCGATTAATGGAAATGTGTTTCATTCATTCGAAAAGATAAATGAAATATTCGCAAAGAATGATGGTAGAAGATATTATAGAGAACTTGAAAGTTCATGCTATGACTCTGATACTCCATATTTTGATGATAAACAAACTCATTTAAGAATTATAAATCCGGCTCATGATGTGAACCAATTAGGTGACACATATATTAAACGCAAAGTTAAAGCAACTCTAGTTTCAAATAAAGCTTTCGCATGTGATGCCGCTTTTAAATGCATGCGTTTATTCGTTGGTTACAAATCATCAAATCAAAGCTTTAAACAATTAGAAGTAGAAACTGAAAGAGGTGATGCCGGTTATCTTCAGATGGATTGCGCCCGTGAATCTTTCGCATTTGCAACATATAAACCAAAATCAGAAAGGAAAGTTAAAAAGTTTGTTCATTCGTTATATAATAATGTTCAAAAATATGATAACTCAGTATGTGGTAAATATATTGACCCTTCAGAAGTTTTCAAGAACGCAAATAAAGAAGTTGATGTCACTTTTGATATGATTATTCCGGTAAATGATTTGTTAGCATTTCAGGCGTTCGATGATTATCCTAAATCATTTGGTGATATCATTCTTAAATATTATGTTTTCAGGGATACTTTAGTATTTTGTCAGGTTGACCCGTTAAGAGTTGCTGATTTACAAAATTACGTTTATGAAAAGATAACTGATGAAAATTATGAAAAGATTATGAATCATGTTTATAAATATGATCGCAAATTCCAACAAATCGGACTTCCTGCCAAATTAATTACAAGCTTAGCCGCTACATCTGCTGACGCAACAGTTGATGACGTTATTATTTCATGCACAAAGATGGAAGTTTTAGAGGATAAATGTATTACACCAGGATACGGTTTAATTGAAGAATCAGTTAAAGCAATACCACGTTTATTCAGTAAGGAAGATCCATTCATGATTCCAGCTCAACATATTGACGTTCGTTCACTAAATGGAGGTTGCATCACTCCTGAAGGTATTAGCTCAGATTTCTCATACGCTCTTCATAATGTTACAGATGTTGTGTTAACATTTCCGAAGAATGCAATGCAAAGAACAGTTTTAGAAAATCCAATGCTTCGAGGTCTTCAGGTCACTATAGATTCCAGAAACTTCCCCGATCAAGCGATGACCACAGTGGGTGACATATTCTTTACACGTATGCTTCAAGCTTCTGATTTAGATGGAGTGAATGAATGCACGGAAGAATACGAGGACTCATTAACTAGACCACTGAATGCAGATGATGGCACGCCATTAGCTAGAACATGGAAAGACCAAACTTCATTCTTATGCACTATTCCAGTTCAACGTGATGGAGCGGGTATATTCTTTGATGGATTAGAAACTTTCAACTCACAAGTTACAGTACAAGTGAAAGCTTATCCAATCATTCAGGGTGAAAATGACACTTACTGTTCAAAGGTGACAAATCCTCCTCAGGTTTGGTTTACTAGGACTACATATTGGACATGGACACCGGATGAAGGTTTGAAATATCATCCAACAGGTACACCACCACAGTATAGAAGTTCATATGATGAAATATTGATGAATAGAAATGTTTAAAATTATAAATTTATTTTTGATTAAATGGATTTAAATTCATCCACCCCTTATGAAGAATTAGCAGGAGTATATAATACATACGTAGATGATATGATTAATGAAGCATTGAGTGATAATAAAATGCTCTATCTAAGGAAAAATTAATGAAAATTCCATATTCTGAATGTTACTTAAATTCAATCACTGCAGCAATTGGTAAACAAATAAAGGTAAAACATTAACGATATTAAAACAAATTATCATTATTGCTAACACTTCCCCCTATTCACATGTGTTAATTTATATCAACCGTTCAGGTTCACCTTCAGATGATACATTTGAATCTTTAAAGCATTTAATCAAAATTCCAATTATTTATTTATCACAAGAAGAAGCAGAAGATTATTTAAAAAACTTTTTAATGTATAAAGAATTATATAATACAATCAAGAAGCAAGGATTAGAGGATAAAATTATTGATAAACAACAGGATGAATTATTTGAAACACTTTCCATTTCAAATTTTGATAAAGAATTTTTGCATTCACTCATTTTTCTAGATGATGCAGTGAAATCAAAACTAATAACAAATGAGAAATCATATTTTAATCAGTTATTAACTCAATGTCGACACATTCAGTGTTCATTCTTTATGGCTGTTCAATATTTCAAAGCATTAAGCACAAACATTAAATCAAATCTATCAACACTTTTCATTTTCAGTGGGTTTAGTCGTCAACAGTTGAACGTTATGCTTTATCAAGTGAATTTACCAATGAGCATTAATGAACTTTACACACAATATCAGCAATTAGGTGAACATGGAAAAATAATAGTTGATTTAAATAAAGGGGGTGTTAAATTTGATTAACTTTTTATAATTAATTTTTATTTTTTATTTATAATTAAACATGACAGAAATAGCAAATCTTTACAGGTTCCATTAAAACAAGGGACAAACAAAAGGGGTGCATATAATAGAACTATGAAAGTTCCGATGGAATGAAAGAATTAGTTCATATTGTTGCTGGTCTTCAAAAAGATGTTAAACAAATGAGAAACGTTTTAACATTACCAGAAGCTCAAGCATATGCCAAACGTCATGGTCCAAATTGGGAAGCACACGAAGCAGACATTACGGGTCCAAATGGAAAACCTGATGGTATAAATGAAGTTTTCGTTACTGATGGACAAGGTAATATTAAAGTCATAAATGGTTATAAATTAACTATCTGATTATCCTAAACGTAAAGCATATAATGAACATTATCCTATGCAATTTGATGAAAATGGAAAAGCTGTTAAACAATACATTGGAGAAGGTGAAAATGGTCCAATTAATTCATACCGTTATAATCCATATTCTTATTTCAATGAAGAATTAAATGCTATTGAAGAAGGGACCGGATGGATTACCACGATATTCTAACCAGTTTGATGGTCAATATGCAAATATTAGACCCGAAATTTCAGCTAAGAAATTCTTTAAAGTTGCTTTATTCGATCCAGTTTTCGCAAATGTTAAAGATGAACTTAAACAGCAATTTCAACCAATTATAGTAGCAAGAATTGCATCAGGTGCTTTATCTCAAGCATTCAAAGATTTAGTTATGAAACCATTATATCAGCAACGAGGTTTAACTTATGATTTAGTTAAGGAATCAGATAAAAGAAAATTTGAGAAATCAGTTGATTATAAGAATGCAATTAATGAATATATTCGGTCTATTAATTTCGATGAAACAGCTAAAAATCAACTTCATGAACAAATACAGGGAATAATAGATTCAAAAGTTCCAGCAAAATAAAAGTTTAAATATATTTTTTTATTCGATTATAAATGAGAAGACGTTTCACTAGTCAAAAGAACACTAACGCAAAAGCAGAGATTACGGTTGGTTATAACGTAAATGATGATAAATCACGAATTATTCAAAATGTTAAAGTTAATGTTAGCCCTGAATTAACAAGGTCAGCAACTCAACCAAATTTATTAACTCGTGACTTACCGAAGAATGAGGAGAATGAAGACCCAATCATTTTATCTGAACCTGGTAAAGAACCTGTTGAAATTCCCACTTATCCAACATACCCAGCACTTCTTTCATCAAACATCGAGAACCCATATAAAATAGACATTAATTTTGAATTAATGAAAATTTACCGTGATATAATAATTAATAATTATGATTCAATAATAAATTTAATTGATCAATCCGGTTTAATTATTTTACCTTATGAATCATTAATTCACATTATCGCCATTCTTTGTGATGTTCAAGATTCAGACGTTAAGATTCAATTTTTCATAGATGATGAGGTTTCATGCTGTGGAATAGTTGCAAAAATAAATCCTATAAAGGATATTAGCACAATTAAGATATCAAAGAATGGGACAACAACTGAACTTCATTTAACATATAATGATATTTATAATAAAATAGTTGATGAATATAAAATATCACTTGAAAAATTCTTTGTTAAGGCTATTTAATATTCAAGCATTAACATTATCGAATAATAATCCTTTGAATCATAATCAATAATAATTGACCTTTCACCAGTTTCTATCGTTTGTTTTATTTCTTTTTGTTTCCCACTATCTGGATCAGTCATTGTAATTGTTTTTGTTACAGTATCAGCTTTATCTTTAACTTCAATCTTTTTTCCATCGGGATATTTAAACCAAAATTCCAAAAATTCGATATTGTCAATCTGTTCATATTTTAATCTATCAATTGCATTTTTAATACCATCTGAAAATCTTATGAAATGGTCATTATATGGGTTTGATTGAACTAAATTTGAATGAAGTGAAATATAACCCGATGATGAATATGACATCGACTCATATTTTCTGAAAACACTAAAATTTATAACATGAATGAATTTCTTATTCGTTGAATTTATGAATTCTTGAGGTAATCTTATTCTAGTTTTATTTATCACTGGAAAATAACGCTTTACCATATTTTTAATCGTAATAAAAATGTCAATTATCAATATTATTTCGAATAATAGTTGTGAATTAAATTTAACAGTTAGCGGAATTTATAATGTTACTCTCGTTTCTGTGAGTGGTAAATTTAATCCATTCTTTTAGACCCTTCAGATTATATATCATTTATTAAAGATGACCATGAAAAAACGTGTGATATGTATATAAATAATGTGATAACGAAATGGGATATTAATATGATTTTAAGTTATTTAAATGAATCATTTATCGTATGGTATGAAGAAAATTTTAAATCAAAACCTGAAAAACTTTTTGAACTTGATGAAATAAATAACCTTATTAAATTCCCGCTGAAAATTAAATTTTGTACTCCTCATTTTCGTTCATTGTTGGGGATATTAAATTTTGAAAAAGATGTTGGGGATGTTTTGTATTCTGACACTGGTTCCAATTTCATTTTAATCAAATGTGATAAAGTTAATACCCCAATGAGATTTTCACATCAAACATTAGACCCTAACTCTTACCCATCAATACAAAACATTTTATCCATCAACTTAAACACATTTTCTTTATCATATCCGTTTCAATTATCCGGGAATTCATTTATTCTTCATTCAAAAGATTTATCAAATATTAAATTTAGAATAACTGACCTATTTGATTGTGATTTAGAATTTATGAATGAAATATTATGGCAATTTCAAATAGAAAAAATAGCTGATGAGATAACGGATTAAATATTTATTTTTAAATCATAATAAATGATTAAACAACAACAACCACAACAACTTAAGACACAAAGCACCCAGGTCCTTCAAACCATTACATACGCCATATATGCATATAATTCAAAGACGGCAGAACAAACACAAAGGTTGAAATATGGAGATTTGGAGATAGTATTGAAAAATGACCATTTCGAATTCGTTTGCAAAGGTGGTGCAGTGATATCAAATATAAAAGAAATTTTATTTATGAATTCAAAAATTAAAGGTATAACGGATGATATAACATCAATTCCACCAGAAGAACAAAGATATTACGCATTAAATGCATTTCCCAAAGTTTTGAAGATTGGAAGATTTAATTTAAATGAGGAATTCATAAAAGGTTTCCTAAATGACATAATGAAGAAAGCAGATAAGGAATATGTGGCTAGTGAGTTAGAGAAGAAAGCAGATAAGGAATATGTGGCTAGTGAGTTAGAGAAGAAAGCAGATAAGGAATATGTTAATGAAAAATATAATGAAATTAAAGAAAGGGTTGAATGGTATCATGAATGGACATCGAAGATTTTTAAAACTAAAGCTGATACAGGATGGGTTTCAGGATGTTTAGACCTTAAAGCGGATAAGGAATATGTGGCTAGTGAGTTAGAGAAGAAAGCAGATAAGGAATATGTGGCTAGTGAGTTAGAGAAGAAAGCAGATAAGGAATATGTTAATGAAAAATATAATGAAATTAAAGAAAGGGTTGAATGGTATCATGAATGGACATCGAAGATTTTTAAAACTAAAGCTGATACAGGATGGGTTTCAGGATGTTTAGACCTTAAAGCGGATAAGGAATATGTGGCTAGTGAGTTAGAGAAGAAAGCAGATAAGGAATATGTTAATGAAATATACCAAAGTTTGATAGGAACAACAAAAATATTGAAACTATTGTTGGTGACTTTTCTGTCAATGAAGAAAATAAATATTTTAGATGGCAGTTTGTACAGTCCTTAAAAAATGGTACACGGTGTAAACTCATTCCGAAAAATAACAATGAAATGTATGTAAGTTATAAAAAGAATGATGGCACACAAGTTAAAGTTCCATTAGTCAACAACTGCTACTTAAACTTATATGGAGACGAACAAAAGAAATATTTAAGAGTTTATGAAATGACAGATATGGCATTGCCTGACCCAGCTCCAGCACCATATTATTATGACTATGGAGATGACGTCAGAACACCACATGTAGATGAACAAAAGCTAACATTATATTTAGATTATTATAGATATAAAAGATATAATGCAATAGAAAAAACGAGAATAGTATATTATTATACAGATGACAGAAATAAATATTATAGTCAAGATTTTACCTACCCTGAAAACATAAGATTATATTATAAAAAATATTCTAACACAAACCAGAAAAAACCCGAAATAGTTGCACTATATTTTAAGTTCAAAAGAGACAATCCTATAATATCTCATATGTTTGATTTAATGAACCCAGTAGGTTCTATTTATACATCTATGGATGCAAGAGGTCCTCAAGTAATGTTTGGTGTTGGTGCATGGGAACAAATAGTCGACAGGTTTTTGTATTGTGCAAACTCTTCAAAGGAAACAGGTGGAAGTAAAACAATTACAGGTGAAAATTTACCTGCACATAGTCACTACATAGATTTAAGCACATCTCAAGCAGGTTGGCATAGGCATAGATATTGGGATTGGTCAGGAATGACAAAAGGTAAAGGATATGATGTTAAAGACGACGTTAAGTTTGCTATAAATTGTTACTGGAGTGACACTCAGGGAGAAGGAAACCATACACATTTCGTTTCAGGATATACACAAACAACAGGACAAAGTAAAGAATACATGCCACCATTTATGACTGTATTCGCATGGTATAGAGTTCAATGAACGCTCAATGTTTGTGAAACAAACTTTAGAACGGACTGAAAGAGTGAATGGCATAATTTAAATTTTTATTTTAGTATAAATGAAGATTCTACCATATGGTGTTATTAGAAGAGATAAAGATGGAAACCCAATATTTGATCCAAAGTTAAAATTCAAGTTACTGACAAGACAACAACTTGAAAAGTTGCTGAAACCAAAACAGGATGAGAAAATGAAAAAGAAAAAAATTTAAATTATGTAATTTTATTTTTATCATAAATGACAAAATTAATTAAGCCAACTATTTCTAAATTAATGTTACCAATGAAATCATTTCATGGAGTAATTATCCCAGGTTCTTCACAATTAGCTGGGGCAAGTGTTGGGACTCAAGGTGGAACATTAGTGAATCCATTCAAATTATTAACTAAAGATGAAGTTAATAAAATGATGTCAAAATAACTGATAACAAAATTTGATTTCAGTGCTACCAGGTAATTTTGACATTTTGACAACATCACAGGAGGAAGGTAAAAATGAATTATTTTTGAAGAACTGAAGGTGCTACCATGTTACCGGGTGCTACCAGGTAATTTAATTTCTTTTAAAAATGGTGACAACATGACATTTTGACAACATCACAGGAGGAAGGTAAAAATGATTTATTTTTGAAGAACTGAAGGTGCTACCAGGTAATTTTGACATTTTGACAACATCACAGGAGGAAGGTAAAAATGAATTATTTTTGAAGAACTGAAGGTGCTACCATGTTACCGGGTGCTACCAGGTAATTTAATTTCTTTTAAAAATGGTGACAACATGACATTTTGACAACAGTTCAGGAGGAAGGTAAAAATGATTTATTTTTGAAGAACTGAAGGTCTACCAGGTAATTTTGACATTTCTGAAAAAATGTGACAACATGACATTTTGACAACAGTCATGGAAATATGATGCAGCCCAAAAATAAAGTTAGTTTTAAAATTATTTTTATTTTTTTATTCCTATATAAATGACGGCAACAAACAACAACAGCAACTATATCGTTTCTGATGAAAAAAGTTATTGATTCATTAGTTGAGGAATTAATTATGACAGAAACTAAAACCCTCAACGAAAGAATTGGTGAAAACACGATTGATTTACATAACTACCTCAAACATGATGGAGGAAGAGGAAGGAAAACTGGTATGGCTTTATTAGTAAATAAAATATCAAATTTAACGATTATAGATGTTGATATCAATAAATCATACGATGATGAACTTAAAGAAACAGTTAGAAAAGACATTTTATCAAAACTTTCGGATAAAGATGTTATCGTTAAAAACCGCTTCAGGAGGTCTTCACATTATTGCAACACTAATTTCTTCTATGCAGTTTCGAACAGAATGATTAAATGTTATTCCTGCAATGATTATGATATTGATATCATGACTTCTGTTGATGATTCAAAGCGTTCATTAGTGGTTATGGCTGATTCAAGAGTTCGCAAGAATGCAACAGAACCAATCAATACATACTCATTCATTCGTGGAAGTTATGATTCAACATTAACCAGAACAGTGAATGATATATTAAATGATTTGAATATTAAGGTAAGAGTTGAACAGAAGAACGAAGAAATAAAGAGTATAATGAATGAAAACAAAGATGTAAACATTGACGATAAACTAGCTCAAAGCATAGTTGATGGCATGAGTGATTTTGAAGTACATAATGACGTGGAAACATGAATTTAGAAAAGAAATAACATTATTCACACTGTTTCAAGCAATTAATTCGTTACCTAATCATTTAATTAATGAGCATACGATAACGTTTATAACTTCTGCAATTTAACTGAAAATGCAAAAAGTAATTTTGAAAAGCACGTGATAGATATGCATATTTAATGACTTCTCCATTTGTTTTGGTGAAGATTCTAAAACTATATCAAAAGGAATATTATGATGAATATGTTTTACCTTTATTACGTAAGCCAAAAATAACATTTGTTATCAAACTTGATGACTCGTTTTGATAACAGATATTAGACGCAAGGCTGAAAATCATCAGTATAAAAACAGTTCTGAAGTAATTGAGGATTTATCACGTGTAATCCGTTTTGTAGATTGTGGAAATAAATATTTCATTCAAAAGGACTATAATATCCACGACAAAATGAATCAAATATCATTCGTTCTTCAATCAAACATGAAAGAGTCACTTAAAATGATTAAATTATTTAATGAAGAAGGTAAAACAATAACAGCATGGGATGTACTACTAAATCAATTATCCTCATTAACCGTTAAGGGTGTTTGCTTTAAATCTGATTCCCCAGATGTTTTCTCAACGTTTCAAGGTTATAAATACAACATTCTTGAAAAACCAGATTACTCAAAAATTGAGATGTTTATGAATTTCATTAAAGAAGTCATTTGTGATAATAACGATGAAGTGTATAAATACCTTCTCGGCTGGATTGCATCAATGATTCAACATCCTGGAATCAAGAATGAAACAGCAATTATTTTGAAAGGACTTCAGGGAACAGGTAAAAACAGATTCAAGGACATTATTTCTGAACTTCTCGCTGGTTATTCATGTAAAAACATTACCGAAATAGGTGAGCTAACGGGTAATTTCAACTCAGTAGTTGAGAATAAAATGTTTCTTGTACTTAATGAACTCAAGAATGTTGGTGAAGACAGACTCGCAAACTTCAACGCTTTGAAATCAATTATTACGGATAATGAGATTAGAATTAATGAAAAGAATCAACCCAGAAGAACTGCTCAGAATGTTGCTAATTTCATTTTCGTAACTAATAACGTTTACCCTGTCAAAATTGAAGTTGGAGACAGAAGATATGTAGTTTTAAGAGTTAATGGTAAATTTAAGGGTCAATTTGATTACTTCAAGAATTTAATGGATTCATGCACAAAGGAATTTTATGATAATTTACTGACGTATTTTATGCAATATGACCTTTCATCATTTAATGTACGAATCATACCGATGACTGAAGCCAAACAAGATTTAATTGAATTATCAGCAAATCCTTTAGATGCATGGATAAATACACATTATGATGAATTGTGTGCAGGTATGATGTGTGAAAATGCTTTATTCTGCAAACCATCAGACATGAAAGACAAGAATTTTCAAATGAGTATTAAGGATAAATGTGATAGGAAACATAGAAGAATAGATGGTAAACAAACATGGTGTTATGTTTTGAAAGAAGAAATGAAAAGATTATATAAACAGGTTGAACCAAACGATAATGAGGATTCATTTACTGATGATGAAATACTTGTAAATGAAGCTTTATAAAGTATGATTTGAATTTATTTTTACCTTCCTCTCGTGTTGTTGTCAAAATGTCATGGTAACATGGTAGCACCTTCAGTTCTTCAAAAATAATTCATGAATGCCTTCCTCCTGTGATGTTGTCAAAATGTCATGTTGTCACCATTTTTAAAAGAAATTAAATTACCTGGTAGCACCCGGTAACATGGTAGCACTGAAAAAATTAAATTTGGATTGAGTTTAAAAATTCATCTTTATTAAATTCATCTCTTCCAATCAATTTATTTATTCTATTAAATTCTTTTATTTTTGCTTCACTCAATTTAAGGATTGAACGGTAAGTTTCTAATTTTTCGATTATTTCTTTATCGTTTTCAACCTCACCACATTGCGGCTTCTTTTTGTAATAGCATATTTTTGATTTAATTTTGTTTAGTTTCTTTTTATATTCATCGTCAGGACTCTTGGCTGCTTCGTTGTCACCCATTTCTTACGAAATAAAAAAATTAAATATTATTTAAATATAATGGAGTAATAAAATAAATCGGAATTTCTATTAATTTATTGTTAACCTCAACTAATGCAGTACCGTTAATATATCTAACAAATTCAGCTATTGTGTCAAATCTTCGTCTTCTTTTTGTCATTGATTTATCAGTTTTTCCATAATCGAGATGAATCAAAACTTTATCCCCTTGTTTAAAATTCATGAGCCCCGAATTAATTTGTTCACGTTTAACATCATTTAACCTTTCCATTTGTTTTCTAATATATTCCCATTCTTTTGAAATCTCATTTTTCATTTCCACTGGTTTCATGTTTATAGTTCTATGCCATGTATTATTGTAATAATATACTAACTGCTGTATGATGGAGTCATGATTTCCATCCCAGTATATCTGACCATTAACCCCTAACGCATCTCTAAGAGTTCTCATTACCACATCAACTATTTTATTATGAAACGTATATGGAGAGGATGAAAAGTAAAAATGAATTTGTGGGAAATAATGAGCCATAGCTGCCTGAAATCCTTTATCACCATCACCCCTTATATTATCTACTCTTTCATGATCTAGTAAGTATTGAATAGCTCTTCTTGTTTCCTGTTCTGTTTTCCCTTTCACTGGAATGCAATATAAATATCTAGTGTTAATGTTAATGGCGAATAAATAAGTAACGTTTCCTTTTGAATATTCTAAATGATCGATTTCGTATGAATATGGATATAGTGCAAATGAGGGGCGACCAAAATTTTCCTTTAATGGCTGAATTTTTGGGTCAATTGGTTTATTTAATATTTTGAAATCCTTTTTAAAATCTTTTTGCTTCTTTAATGTTTGAAATGGATATAATAAAGTGAATGATGAAGGATTAACTGAAAGAGGAGGAGGTACTACTGTTGGAGGTTTTGGTGTTGCAAGTGGTTTAATTTTATCTGCTTTGATTTTGGATTTCATTCCTCCTTTCATTAATTCTGGATGTATTCTATTCATTTGTTTTAAATATACTGTATATAAAGGTTTGATATACTTTCCCGCTTCGAGTTTATGTTGAAGGATGAATTCCAAAAGTTGATCTTCATTTAAAAGTCGGGCTGAATGTGGTTTAACTAATGAATCATAAATTAAAGCTTGTGCTTCATTTATGGTCTGAAGGACTTGGGCGTTTTGTATCTTTAGCTGTTGAACATTTGGTTTTTGCGGCTCAGGATTATATAAATT